CGGTTTGACCTTAATTTCTGAAATGTTTGTCACTATTAGCAATACTTCATCTTCTTCCTCAGCAAGAAAATTTGTTGGTTCCTCCTTTTTCTTCTCGGACCTACAATCTTTAGAAATATGACCCAATTTTCCACAATTATAGCATTTTACGGAGTAACAATCCTTGACAACATGCCCATTCTTTCCACAATTATAGCATTTTATCAAGTAACAATCCTTGGCAATATGCCCATTCTTCCCACAATTATAGCATTCAATATTATTTGTGTTTGTCCGGCCACCCCGAGCTTGTCCTTGGCCACGCTAGTTCTGTTGACCATCTTGCTCATTTCTCGTCCTCCTTTTCCTCTACCACCTCGACCTCTGCCTTTTCCTCGGCCTCTGGTACTCTGAGCATAGAGCACTTTCTCCTCTTTTATTGTCGCCTTTGCCTGGAGAGCATGTTCAAGGGACTTCCCCTTCTTGTTTTTCCTTCTCTGCTCATGCACTTCTAGGGACCCAGCAAGCTCTTCAAGGGTGAGCGTTGATAGATCATTGGACTCCTCTATTGCGCATACGATGTTCTCGAAATCATCTGTCAATGGCCTCAAAATCTTTTCAACAACTCGGTTTGATGAAAGACTCTCACAATTCTGATTCAGCTTGTTCACCATGGTCTCCACCCGAATAATAACTCAGATACGCTTTCAGGCTCTTTCATCCTCATGTTTTCCAGCTCGCTCCTAAGGGTTTGAAGTCGAACTTATTTCACCCATTCATCTTCTTTGTTTGCTTTTTCAAGTGTATCCCATGCTACTTTGGAAGATTTTGCATTAGCTATTTTCTCAAAGCCGGATTCGTCAACGGCTCGGTATAGCAGATACAGAGTCGCCTTGTCTTTAGCTCGAACGACCTTCAATGCGTTTAGTTGGGCATTTGAATACTCATCTGTGTTCGCTAGGCATGGCAACGCGGTGGGACGGGGGCAGGTTTTGCCTCCCCGATCCCCGCCCCCGACTTTTTTAACCATTCTCGTCCCTGTCCCCGATCCCCGTCGGGGTTAGAAATTAAGTCCCCGTCTCCGTTGAGTTTCGGGTTTCTCGCCTCCGCCCCGTCCCCGATCTATATTATTTTTAAAAAGATAATTACATTTATAATAAATTAATTTTACTATCTATTTTTTATATATAACTAAATATTTATAATTTTATAATTTATAATATTATTAATTAAATATAGATTTTAATTTACTATATTTATATTAAAATATATATGTAAAAGAAATATTTAATCATTTTTATTTATAATATTATTATTATTATTATACTGTATTGAAATATTTGGATACTTATAACATTATTATTATAATACTATATTCAAACATTTGATTATATATATAAGTTAATTCATTTTTAAGTTGTCATTTAAAAACATGAAATATATAGTTTATAAGGAAATATTTAATAAGTTAATTCTTATTCAATTAGTTCGAAGTAATAAAAGTTTAAATTATCAATTCCATTAATATTTTAAAATAAAATTATTTTATTAAGATAAAATTTGATATATGATAAATAAGAATAATAAGATAAAAAAATATGACATAATAAAACTTAATAAATATAAATTATAAATAAAATAATATTAGTTACTACTAAGATTTATGTAAAATATTTAGAAAAAGATAAAGAATAAAAAAAAATTAACTTTGTGTTTATCAAATTGGTTGAAAAGATTGAAAAAGAAAACAAATTGATGGGAGAGATTAAGGAAATGTGAAAAACTGAAAGGTAAGAGAGAAAATAATGTAATAAATGAATTCATATAAAAGATTAAAAAAGACAAAAAAATTAAAAAGTGGTAGAAGAAAAATAAAAATTGGTGAAATATTAAAAAAATGATCTTATATGTAATAGAAAAAGAAAAGAAAATATTTTTTAAAATATTAATATTTTAAAATTTAAATTTAAATATAAAGTCGGACGGGGATCGGGGTTGGGGTGGAGATTGCATTACCCATCCCCGCCCCCGACTTTTTAAAGCGGGGAAAACCCTAACCCGTCCCTACCCCCGGTCAACTCGGGTTTTTCCCGTCAAACTCGGGACGGGGACAGGTCAGTCCCCACGGGTACGGGTTTAATTGTCATCTGTTCGCCGGTTCCTCATACCCATTCTCGACCACATCCCAGTTATCTTGGGAGCCGAGAAGAACCTTCATTTGTACCTTCCATTTGTCATAGTTGGTACTTTTCGTCAACTTGGGTAGCGAGATGTCATTGGTTAGACCTGTCATTTCCTCTCAAGTATTTGCACTCAACTCACACACCTCACAAAGCTCTGAGTCGCTCCTCTCTCTTTCTCAACCATCACACATTGCGGCGTTCTGTCTTGAGGCTTGGTGGGTTCTCTCACACTCACCTCACACACAAGCTCTGATGCCAATTTGTTGGTAACAGGAAAGGAAACAACAGTCTCAATATTTCTCCTGATGCTATTCCAAATGAGTTGTTACAAGTATTTATGACCAAAATATTTGTCTCTTCAAATCCCAAAAGTAAATCATGATACCTATTAAATAGGTTTATAACCCATTGGTTATACCACTCGTAATTAAAACCATTAATATTATTCTAGGAATACTAAACGTCTAATTTAAGTTTTACAATAAGATTTACAAAGTAAGGGATAAAAGGATGTTGTTAGGAAATAATACGAAAAATAGAGTTAGAGACATAACTTAATATATGATGCCAAAGAGAAGCATTTATGGGTTTGGTAGTAGTGGTATGAACAGAAAAAGGATGATAGTTGTGATAAGAGTGAGACAGATTTAGCACATACAATCATTGGTGCAAGCTAGCTAAACCAATAATCCTTTGGAAGGTTTGCTGCAAAATAACACAAGAATTAGATTAAAAAGAGGAGATGAGTGCTAGGTTTGGATCAAGGTTTTAAATTGGGATCGATTTGATAATCATTGAGGCCTTTTAGAAAACGAATGACATAATCAAGAGCATCACAAGAACATTTGATAGTACATGTGTAGTTGACAAATAGACGAAAACTATCGATTTTCTCCAAAAAAGTACTAACTCTTTATAGAATTCAGTTACAAAGAGAGTACCTTGGTGCAATTTGTATAAATCTTCTTGTAAATCTGCAATACAAAACATATCTTTTTAATGAAAACGATGATACAAATATTGTCAAATGTCAGAAGCATGTTCGATCCAGAAAATGAATTTAAAAATGGTTTCATGCATCGATCGTTGGATCCAATAAATAATCTCAAGGTTCGTGAAGTTGGCTAGTTGATGGTAGTTTGGAGAAATTATCATCGACGAATTTCAGCTTATTCCTGAATTTGAGCGCAAAGTTTCATGACACGGGCCTAGGCGTGATAATTTTTGTCATCGAACAAGGTGGAGACAAGAACAACAATAAGGTTTTTATTGGAAAGAAAAAGGAAAATATTTGAAGGATTAATGTGAAAGTCAATATAAGGTTCGAACGTCATAAGAACGAAGGAAGAAATCAATAAATAACATCCGATACCATCTTATTGTTTACATGTGTACGATAATTCATTTATTTTTATTAAGAATTTTTATACTAAAAAAAGAGTACAAAGAAAAAATATATATATATATATATATATATATATATATATATATATATAAATAATACAAATGGAAAAACATAAAATTTGTTATAGAAAAACAATTATAGTAATATTATACAAGTAGGTTGAAAAACAATTTTTCTGTTAAAATAACAATGAACATATGTATCGAGCATATCCACTATGCAATAAAAATGTAGTACAAGCTACTGTTACACGTGAGTTTAAGCCCCAAATTTCAACGTTTTATAGGCTCAATTTCTACAAATTTCTCAATAGATACTTATGGGAAAAGAAATAGAGAAAATGTTCTATTTTTCTTATTTAAATCAAGCTAAAACTACGAAATTCGACTTTTGGACGGAAGATAATTTATATAAAAAAGTTACTGTGAATGAATAAATTTTAACTGAGAAAAAAATAATTTAACTTCTTTTTCTTTTCATTTGCTAATTGAAATTCTTTTCCAAACTACACAATTTTTTATATGCTTTGCAATTTCATTAAATTTTACATTTTCTAATTTAAACATTTATTGTAGTATTAAGCATCGATTCCTTAACAAAAATATATTGTGTTTACTAATAGTACTCTTAATTAAATAATAAAAAAAGTATTCTTGCATGATAAAGAAACAAAATCATACATCAGGCTGTTTCAATGAAATGACTACAAATTCTAATTTATTTTCCCCTTTCCAGTTAGAGAAACATAATAACTTCTCATAAAAGTCAACTGTACTTTTAAAATAAATATTTTCATTATTGTAAGCAAACATAAATTAAATTCGTTTTTTTTTTACATAAAATAAAATAAAAGTAATCACAAATAATATTCACCAAAATCATTTTATTTTTTATCTTAAAAATGTGGCCTACCAAAAAAAATTACCCTCATTTTCTGAAGCTCAGTCTCATGTTACCTGAAACCTTAATATACCCTAAAGAGAGAACACAACCACGCTAATCTGTTAAACTTTGTGAATAAATATTTAAAAAATACATTTGTATTTTACCGTTCATACATAGCTGAGGGACAATTATTTCCCTGGTCTATAATTGGTCTATAGAAGTAATTTACTTGGTAATACAAAACCCTAAATTCTCTTTAAAAACATCAGATTACAATGAGAAGAAGTTGGAAAAAGATGGACAGATTGTGATTACAAAAAAGGCCTATAAAAGAAGAGGAAGAACCAACCATTTTCCCAATCAAAAGAGATTTGACCAAAGGGGCTTGACAAGAGTTTCTGGCTTAAACTTGACAACATCTTTCAAGATAATGAGTAACTTATAATTTGATGCGGTCGGCCAAACTAATTTGACCTGAGACTCCCTTCTCCATCCACGATCACTGAATGAGACAATTATTTCGTGAATACAAAACAAAGATACAAATCTCAAATGAGCCTCAGTTCATACTCTCCAGCCATTGTTATGTATCTAACCCATGGAAGAGCCTGATACCCACTTTTCTCAATAATCTTCAAATATCTTACCTACACATCAAAACATTTACATGGTTGATCAGCACCTTGATTGGTTAATCAATCATAACCTCATTTAACTGAACTTAAACACAACAGTACTATCAATAGACTCGAATATAAGAAAAATTAGCTAAGTTCACATTGATTAAGAATGTTAGTTAAATTTATGTAATATTCTTAATTTCATAAAATAAAATAAAAAGTACATTTTCTAAATTACCTTCAATCATACTTGGGGATGGTGCCTGGGCGTAAACATAAACATATTTTTGAAATAATAACGTTAAATAAATTTGCGTGAGTTGGAATTTGTTTATATTTGAGTCTAAATATATATATGGTAAGGTTAACAATAATTTCAACATGATATCTTGTGAATGTTGATGTTTCGTTCAGATTACCTAGTCCCATGATTTCATATTTCTAATAGACAAAACTATTAATCATAGAAAATTATAAAACTATGTATATTAGGATCTTATCCATTTATGATTTCAAGTTCTTTCATCCCAATAGTAATTAGTAGTTATTTTACATTTTATTATTATCTATAAACACTCTTTGTGACCTGAATATTAACTCAACCGTGAAAACAAATGAATTTCGAGTTCAATAGAATCGTTACTTCATGCATCCAGAAATAATAAAAAACTATAAGTACGACACCAACAGACAAATAAAAACACGAAGAATGTTAGTTATACGATGAAGTGTGGACACTTATCATGTTTTAAGTGTTTAACATGTTTCTGACACTAACACCTCTATGACACCTGTCTTATACATGTCACACACTCCTCATTAGGTGTTCAATAAAAGAAAAAAAAAAATTCAGCTCAAATAATTGAGCCAACACCGTATGAATGGACATACTCACTAGTACTATTAAAAAAATGCATTTATTGGAAATTTTTTGTATAGAAACCAAGCACTGATTGTAAAATAATGTTTCTGAATATTTTTTAGTGAGGCTCACTATCATAGGAAAATATGATATTAGTTAGAACGTTATAATGTTCATATTTCATTTCATTTGAGCTTTTTTCACTCTCCTATATAAATTGTGCAATGTTCCAGTACCCTATATTATGGATATTAGCCGTGTTGGACTATCCTTGTCCATGTTGTATCCAAGGAGATATATAATAGAGGAAATATTCATCTTTTAATAAGATAGAGATGCATATAGGCTTAACAATTTTCAGAATATAACAAAAAAGTGTTGTACATGTAACAATACCTGAATCCCAGACACAGTAAAATATGGTATCTCAAATTTTACGCGTATAGGAGCTTTTCTCTCAGGAGTTGCTTCCTCATCTACTATACTGGGAAGACGAAACTCTGCCCTTAACATGTACTCCTGAAGTATCAAATAACAGAACGAAATCCATTAGCTCAATCAAATTTTGGCATCAATTATGAGTGTTATCCGTGGGTGCCATGCAACTTCCTGGTGAATAAATACCTTGCCTCCGGGAAATGATCTTATTTTCCAGATTAATGCATCTTTTTCAGGTGCATATAGTGCTGATCCCATTGAAGTCCGAACATTTGGATTGGTTGCATCAGCAGGGACAGGAAACTCAATCTCCACATTTGTGGCAGTGCTGTAAAATTAAATTGAGTAGTTGAGAAGTAAATATATAGAGTCAGCAAATAAATTTAAGGTATGCAGTTCTCTCACTTTCATGAAGGAAAAATCAGAGGAAAGGAAGAGATATAAAGGGGAAAAGAAAAAATATCAGTACCTGCGTTCCTTAAATTGACTCCTAGTTTTTACCATAATCTCGATCCGGCTTTTTGAATGGTTTTCAACTTGTGCTTCCACCCAAATTAAAGGCTTTACCTGGAAAAAAAGGTCAAAGAATCAACAAGCATAGAATAGTTCTTTTTTTTCCAGTATGATTGTAATTATGTATTTATTATATCACCACTAAATCAGAATTTTATTTCATATCAAGAGAAGATGTACCTGTGTACTGAGCCTGTATGTCATTAAATCAAATGATCCATCGGGGGGGATAAAGGAAATCGTTCTATCATTCTCAAATCGGGCCAAACGCACACACCTTTGTCATGTGACAGCATATAATTTGAGAATTAGTCACGAATAGACATAGACATGCTTGTAGAAAGTATATATTTAAATTTTCACTCACAATTATCAATCAGTGAATATAAGGAAGAGAATAAAGCACACATACTGATGAAATTTGATGTCCTCCAAGTCAATTGCTTTTCCCTTGGTTGTTCTACCTTGTGCCTCTAATAATACTCTATCATTTAACCCAAGTTTACACTCAGGCATACCACTGCATTGTACAAGCCATGGATTGAATATTCATGTTTTTAGATGAACACTCAAGGACATCAAGCACAGAATTTGATTAGATTAATAGATACTTTCAAAATGAACACTCTTCTTAAATCCAAACCACTATCAAATTTAAAGTAGACTCCAAAATGAGCCAAGTTGTTGAACCTATGTACAATATATCTATATTACCTAATCAAGTATTGTTAACCCCAGATCCTAAATCTTTTTAAGAGTACTGAAAGAATGAACCAATCCGAGTATGGATCTTTTTAACCCCAGATTCTGTTAGAGAGAGGATCACCGAGAATCTTGTTGCAGTGAGGGGGCCATTTGGCTGGGCTGATAGAATTATTCTATCAGATTTTTTCTTCATTTTCTGATAGTTTAGACTTAAGTCAACCTTAAAAAACCAACTTGTAAGGTATGGATTGTCCTTATATTTTATTATACCAACTCATATTATTTGTTCTGGATTCAATGCAGGATTATTCAGTTCATTTGTTTTGCTTGAATCTAACAGATTGCAATGCAAATGTCTATTTAGTAATTGTGATCATCATAGTAATAAATTAATGAAAAAAGATAAATATCTCTTTCTTATCCTTAATTTTAAAAAATTAACATATCCCATACCTGTCTGGTACTAAGTTTCCGGGAGTTGTGACTTATATTCGTAAACCACAAAAATATGTACTAGACTTGCTAATGGAGACTGAGTTATGAAGTGTAAAGCATAAACTCCCACTTGAAGCGGACACTAGAAACAAATAATTAACAGAAAACTCATGTATGAAAGAGAATCTCTAAACTCTATCATATATATATATATACAAATTCTGTATAAGAGGTTTGCAATAAAAGAATATTAAATTAGATGTTCAACCTAACTACCCTTAGTCACAGGACTAAAACACGTTGTAGTTTATAGAATTTTGATTTATCAAAACGGGTCACAAGGAAGAGGCTGTAAGAAGTATAGGAACTTGCAAATAGAAGCATACAAAGATGCAAATTGTGCTGAGAGAAACATGGGATGTCTATTCATTATTGCATTTTTGTAGAAGGGAAGCTTGTTATAGCACAACATAAGAAACTGTTTTGTGCTTGTAGAGCTTAGAGGGAAATAACGGAAGATAGGATGTAATAGCTTGAGTGAAATTGCTTTCCTTATGCAGTACCATCCTTCATGCATAACATCTATATATACAGACTAAGTGAGTAGTAGGCTAAGAATAAGTGGACTGGTACTTCCTAGACATTAATTTTAATGAACAATAAGTGCAACTAACGAGAGAGATACATGAACTACGTATGAATTTTATGACAAATCCCCTAAAGCAAAAGCTTACTAAGCTTTAAGCTTGCTACAAATAAATCCCTTAACAATAGATAAATATAATATGGGATCCAGTGCTGGAGACATTGGAAAAATGAGCATTGCTGGAAAGACAGTATAACAAAATGGATGCATCATTATCAACATGAATAGATGGTTAAAAGTAACAGAATAGAAAACATCTCCAAATTCACCAAGAAATGGAAACATATCAAATCTTACAAGTAGATAACAAATCAGATCTTAGTATAAATGGACAAATGCAGCTGAAAGGAGCCAAACAGAATCGGAGAATTCGATATCAAATGTAAGAATAAGAACAAATACACCAGACGCATGTCCACACTGCTGGAGTTGACACAACTAAGAATGGGGACACAGTTGGAGATTGACATGACTGAGAATTAATGAAAGAAATCACATAACAGAGTATTGGAGAATAACTTCTCTGATGATTTTCAACAGCACTTTAAGGATGCCAAAAAAAAATAGTTGAAAATTTTCCAGATGTTGATGGAAAAGCAACTGGGAATTGAAGCTCACCTAAAATATTTTATTTTTAGGAAAAAACTTCTGCAAGTTTGTCAAAATGTTCACTGGCAGTCACAACTTGTTAGAACAGATTTCCATTAAAGTCACAGGAAAGTTAGCCAGTGATGACAACTTGCGAGAAGACGTTGCCAAAATAGCTACCGGAAACTTCTTCACCACTACCAATAGTTTTTGCTGCTTACATGGTGGTTCATATGTGTGCTTTTTGAAGGGAGTTCCTTTTTTGAGATGCTCAGAGAAATCAGATAGCTGTTTTGAGCTTTTTCTTTCAAATACTTTTGGTTGAAGGATTCTTGATCCTCCTATGATGCATTCTTCTTCAACTTTTACTATTCATGAAATCTGATCTACCCCTCCCCCCGTCCCCTGAATTTTATTTTATTTTTTTAAAATGTAAACCATATTGCTAAGTGCTAACCCAATTTACTAATATGGCTTGAAACTCAAGTTCTCAGAGAAAGTATAAAGCAAACCTCAGATATGTTCTCATCTTCAATGCCCCAACTACATCAGACCTAATTATTTGCCCATTGCTATTGACAAGTATATTAACACTCTCCACCACATCCAAGAAAACCTGGAAAAAGAAAATGAAAAGATGAATATTAAGTGGTAGTCTAGACCATCAAATTACAAGTCAAGATGAAATTCTAATGCCCACCTCATTTTTCTTGTATGTTAGCCCTTCACTGCGCCAGGATACAGCATTTGTTACAGCCATGGGAGGTCTCTGTGCAACTTCCATTTTATAAGCATCCGTCTTGATAAACTCACTAAGAATCTTTGCCTCAGTATATTGGGGGTAGCCAAAGTCCATTATTTCATCCAGTAGTTCATACTGCAAAGTCAATATCTCTAATCAACATTAACCCACAAGGACAAATTCAGTTCATAAAGAAACCAGTGATCAAAGGCACATTAGCATTTTACCACAACAACAAAGTTGTCCCTAAGAGATTCCTCCTCCAATTCTTCAAAATAATGCTTAAACACCTGCCTCAAAGACACGAACCATTCCTATCAATCATTATTGCAATGACATAAATCAAGTCTTCAATTCAGAACCATAATTAGGAATAACACACTTACATCAACAATACGATGTAGGAAGAAAATAAGGCTAGCAGCATTGCAGTTTTGTCTGGTAGCCGTCATGAGGAAAACATTGCTGTGCTGTATAAATAAGTAGGTCACGCCATTATCATACACCACTGGATCGTGAGACTGCGGATCCCCCTGCAAAAATTTGAAAACAAACTTCAGTATACAGCAATCACAATTCTCCATTCCAATTCCACCCCTATTAACACAAAATCTAGCCTAGCTTCCACACAAACATTAAAAACTCTATGAGAAACAGCAGAAAAAATTGTTCAAAACAGCAGCAGAAACAAAAAGAATGTAATTTAGACGTTACTTGGTGCTGAGTTAAATAAACAATCATATCATATATTGGTGAAACGAAGGAAGGAACCTCTTTTTCAATGAGTTTGGTGAAGAAGCGTTCGGCTTCGACTGCGGTGACATCGCCGCGGTAGTCGCGCCAAATGAGGACGCGGCCTTTGATGTCGAGAAGGAACAGAGCAGAGACTGCCCCTGCCATTGGATTGGATTGGATCGGATCGGATCGGAATCAGAAATGAATCGGGATCGGACAAGCGTTGCAGAGGGAGAAACGCTAGGGTTCAGCGAGCCGTTTTATAAGCTAAACCATGGCCAGACCCATTGGGTTTCGCTTACTGCATGCAGGAATTGGAGCTTTCGATTTTGTTTCTTCTATCTATCGCTGCAATGTAATGTCGGATTCGATTCAAGGTGCCGTGGGTTGAAACTCGAAAGCACGAGTGCAAAGTGTGACCATACGACGACGTTCCACAACCAAACAATAAAATAAATATAGTTAAAAAATAATTAGTCCACGAAATTTTTTATTTTTTATTTTGGTCCAATTAATTTTGTTTTTAGATTTTGTTTTAACAATTACATGTTTTCAGCAATTATATATATATATATATATATATATATATATATATATAATGAATTTAAAACAAAAATTGGACTAAAAATTTGACAACTAATTAATTATATTTCCTTACACTTACTTTTACCTTTTTAATAACTCCATCTTATATCATTAATTACATCAATGTTTTGTGTTTTACAGTAAGATTAATCATAAATCTCTTTATGATTTAAGAATTATTTTCAATTTTCAAGGTAAATAATTTTCTCTGACAGTCACTGATAAAAACAAAAATCAAGGTTAATCTATAAAACATGTTAGAGTGTATATCTATCACAATTTTTATTTTTTTGTAAACAATAAAATGTAATTATTTCAAGAATTACTTATAGTTTGAAAATTTTTAGTCATAAATGTGAAGGTAAAGAAACAAACATTACTCTATATAGGAGAGTGTTAATAGACTTTTTGAAATCATAATGTTTATATTCTTTAATTTTTCTTCTTCTAAAATTTAGTTCATAATGAAATTCCTCTAATAAAATAAATAAAATGATATATAAAATGACAATTTATATTACTTACTATAATTCAACAGTTTTTAAAGTTAATAAATTTTAAAATTATTTAGAAAAAAAAAAAGATGTATGATACTGGTTCACAAACTAGTAGAATATAATATTAAGAAATATGTTCATTATGAAAATCCTATCCTAGTACACTTTTATATTAGATTTCTAAAACAATATTAAAATTTTAATTAACATAATTTTAAATAAATAATGTATATTATTAAATATTGTTGTTTATAAAAAATTGTTATAAACAGCTCCAATTCGAGATTTTGTAATGAGAATTACATGGAACAAACTTACGAAACAAAAATTTAAGACACGAATGGTGATGTGGTCAATAAATGTACATGGAATGATTCAGTTAACTACTGATTAATAATGATTTGAGGTATTAGTTACAAACTCTAATAAATATTCAACTCAACCACTTGGTGCATGGTTGGTTCTATGTTTGAACTTTTAAGCAATGGAACATGCCTCACACGAAAGCCACAATTTGTATCTTCTGCTTAAAATCCTCTATATTAACATGATTTAGAGAATGGGACGTGCAACCAAACACATGGTTAATGCGATAATAAGATGAGAATAACATGAAACTTTTGCATTGGTGAGTTTCTAAATGAATTTGGCCCATAATTGAGAACAGGGGTGTAATGACTCAATTTTGCTAGACTCCATATCTTGTGGTGCCAAAATGTAGAGAAGCTCATTCTTAATATTTTTGTACTCTACTTGATTACAGTTATTCAGAGATCACTGTTTTAACTAAGATTTCTTAAACAGAAACCACTTTATATGTTTTGACTAGCTAAATACTGATCTATCATACATTGCCTTTCTTCTGACATTGCTATTTGCTGAACAATAAAAGATACCAAGACAAAATTTAGCCTCACAATAAAGAAAGAAATCCGCCGTACATTGTTTTGGGCAGTATGTGGTGAAGGTGGTCGTGGTTCGGTGTGCAGTAAGCAGGGAGTGATGCTAAGCTTCTTATTATGTCATTTTCAATGCCCTGGAGTGGACAACTAAAGGGACATGTCACCCCCCATTTCGCTGATAACTTTCTCCACCTTGATCAACATATCTAATGACAATAAAATGGATCAGGAGTCTCTTGGACACAATTTGGCAGACCATACTAGCACATAACCTCCTCTAATACCTAAGCTTAAATAGCATTACTAAAACTACCTGTCATATGAGGTGAATAAAATAATTCATATTCAAATCAAACCAAACCAAAATAAGAAACTGTCAGAATTTTCCATTCGTGTTCTACCCTAGGACTGGAGAAAGGGAAACTAGGAACTAAATAAATAAAACGGCACATCATATTTGTCCGAGTAAGAGACTGATCAGCTATAAGAAAGAAGGATTTCTACCTTGGAAGGAAGAATCTTCCATATACCTCTACATCAAAGAGAAAGAAACATCATGTCAATAGTAGAAAAGTTGCACTCTCAAAATATTTTTCATGTTTGAGATAACTTATACTATAATGAGCACCATATCGATGTAATTGTGTTACTCCAAGCATCAAACAGTAATATCTTAGCCAGAATTCAAAAATATGTACCACAATTTGGGATTTGAGTTCAATTTCCTCCGAAACAGTTGGTTGAGCTGCAACATATGATTTTATTAAAATGAAATAGGTTGTGGTCGAAATTAGAACAAACAATAGGTTAAAACAAAAAGGCTCGCAAACCATGGTTGTTCTGAGAGCAATCCATTAGTAATGAGGAAAAACTGGGTGGCAAGGCTGGGAGCATGCCTTCAAAGTTGTGACTTGATGTTGTTCCCTTTACTTCGGATCCTGAAGGTTGCCCCACCTCATTATTATATGGTGGCAATTGTGGAATGTAATTGTCAACCGGAGTCATAAAGCTCAGTTCCTCACAAGCTCTACAAATATAGAAAAGTCTTAGTATATATTGCCAAGTCTGAAACACAATTCAGGTTTGTTTGGAGAAACTCTCTATAATTCGAGGAAAAAAATATAAGAAAAAAAGAAATGAGTTTCTTCATAAGTTCAAATTAACTTATAGATGAGATGAGCTAATTTGTAAAAGTTATTTCCTATTAGATTCTCCAAAGTTGATTTTTAACTCATGTATAAGTTAAATTTAGTTTATGAATAAGCTAAGTTCATTTTTTTCTTCTTATTTTTCTCTCCTAAAAGTGTTTAGGGAGAAGTTTCCTCGAATAATTTTACTAAGTCAACTAATACCTCAATATAGGTAATGAAAACATATATCTACTCTAGATAAATGAGGGCAAACAGAAAACAGATCGGCGTCAAGGCCTAAGAACTCAGTTACATCCTCCCATTTCCCCAATCACGAAAACTCCTTTATACCTACTATAAGAGTGTTTGTTTGTTGACATGAACTCTGACTGCGATGAAATTTCAGAACCAAAGTCGGTATTCAAAGGTTCTGGGTCCTTGTCACCTTTCAGGATCTCCTACGAAGCAACAGAACAATAAAAAATTGACAAGGGACAATGTGGTCTTAGAAGTGCAGCCCCAAGGTTGCGCATATTTTTTTGTGAATGGTGATTTTGAAATTATGATAAGCAACCATTACCTTTAAAACATCGATAAATGACTCTGCTTCATAGATTGATGGAAACCGCATAGCAAACTTTTGAATCTGCCAGAGGGAAAGTAGCTGTGTAAAACTTGCATCAACTGTCCATTAATCAATTTAGCCAGGTAAAAATCCAACGAAAATGCATTGTATTTCTATCAGACAAGTGTAATTTTAGTGCATATTTGATTTCATGTTGAGTTATCCAAAATCACGTTGAAATATCACTAACAGTGGGTTTGAATTTTCATCACTGACATGCGTTTCTAACTAGAATTCACGTCCAATTAACAAAAACGTATAAGCTACTCTATGCAGCTTCACTTCTAACAAAGCGTCATTTACATTGCAACAGGGGCTAATGTGATTTTAGGTAAATGTTTCATTCGTTTCTCACATTGAAGAATTGATTCTGAATCCAAAACTGATTTTAAATTGAGCAATTTTAGTATATGTCGTGTTGGATAAAAAATCATATACAATCAGTTTGCAATAAAAAACTAACTAAAAATGACTTTGAATACGAAGTAGACGACAGTGATATGATAAAAAGAATTATGCCTCGCCTAGGGGATCTCTGTAGCTAACTAGCACAGCTCTGATGCCCCTGGCAGGGTATCCAGAAACGCACGACACCTGAGGCCACGTAAAATGCAGTTTGGAGACGTAGTGCTCTTCCTGCCACATTTTTGCGAACACATTGAGTTTACAATTAAAATTGGAGGTGTTGTCGTCCGAGAAAAGGAAAGAAACAAATAATGTTATTATTAATTAAGAAAAGCAATCGCCACGGTTACGCAACATTGAAGAGTTGGAGTTATAAGAAGGTGAGAATGGAGGAACTGACGAGGAGAGTGGCGTTGAAGGAGACGGTGAGGAGGAGGTGGGAGAGGTGAGAGGTGAGGCGGAGGAAGGCAACGGAGGAGGAGGAGATCCAGCTGCCGCGGGGAGGGAGGTTGCGGAGGCGAGGAGGGAGAGGAAGGAGATTGGACGAGGAAGAGCGAGAAGGATAGGGAATGAAGCGAGCGAAGCGTATCTCCCACTGGTCTCTCACGTTCGCCGATTGCTCAATAACTGCCACCGCGCCCGCCATTTTTCCTTTTCAAATACTCTCTCTCGATTTTATTTTTTATTTAATAGTATATCTTCATTTATATATGCCGCTCGGATGATGCATCGCTTGTTCACAAACTTGCCTGCCTGATTTCCTTTTTCATGATGTCAGTTTTTAGGGCCTTTCCTTTTCAAATAGAGTCTCTTCTCAAGTAAATGTAAAGAAGAATCTCTCTTCTTCATTTTCTTCTCATATTTTTCATAATCGATTCTTCTCTGGATTCTCTTCCCTTATTTTATACCAAAATCAATTACACACAATAGAGTCTTGGTACATTGTTGTTATTAGAGATGGTCACGTTATAATTAGTGCTCATTGCGCTAACGGGAGGTCATATTTCATTTTTAACATAATAATTTATTTTGAATTACTTTTAAATATAAGAATAAAATTATAATCTTACAATTTTATTAAAATATATATATTTTTAATCTATAAAATCAATCTTATCATTCATAAATTTTTCTTTTAATTCTTTTTATTTTTTCATTATATATCTTTTGTCTAAACAATCTCTTTTTTTGTTAAATCTATTCTTTCTCTCTCCCTCAAATTCATCTTCAAATCCAATAAAAGTTAAACTTTTTATACAATGACAAATTCAATTATAATTTTTAAAAAACATATATTCAAAAGCCAAGTTTTAAACTATATTTTATAAATTCATAAATATTCCATACAGTAAAGGTTGAAGTTATTTTTGTTAATTTTTTATGAGTAAAAAAAAGTTATATATATATATATATATATATATATATATATTAATAAAGTTAAAAAAATTTATCAACTAAATATCAATTGAGTAATTTCTAGAATAAAATATTATCTTCTCCATTAATATTTTACATTGAATTTAAGTTGAGTGAGATGAGACATAATTAAATATCTTAATCCTCTCAATAAAGTTAAATATATTATATATATTATATATGATTTTTTTAATAAGTGAAGTCATAATGTTAAAAGGAGTTTTTTTTAGTGTTTGACATGGGAGGTTAAATCTCTTAAAATTAGTTTTTTAAGAAAGATCATAGGAATTCTTTTATTTAATTACTTTTGGATGATCTCTTAAAATTAAAAGGTAACATAATGGTTAAATCCAACATTGAATCATCCTAATTTCTTGTTTATGTTTAAGATTTTGGTTAAGTACAAACAACTTTAGATAATCATCTTAAGGAATATTAGAATTTGGTTTATCAATTGTTTATTATTCTTTTGTTTACATGAAAAAAATATATTGTTTGTCCAATTTTAAATTTATTTAATCAAGATTTATTGCATAATATGTGATTATATTAATGTGTCTGATTAAGTATTAATATGAAAAAATATAAATACACTTTTTATTTATTTCACCGACATTACAAGAAATATTAAAATTACCGACGGTCAAAACCGTCGGTAAATGAATATTACCGACTGAATTCGACTACTAAAAATTCATTGAAAATTCGGTTGTCGATAAATATTACCGACATGATTTAATAGTCTCGTTGGTAATTATCGAAATGTGTAATGAAATTACCGACTGATCTGGAATTCGTCTGTAATAATTTTATTATTTATTAAATATTTTACTTATTTATAGCATATTTTTTTTATAGAACCCCTTTAGATTCTTATTATTTATTATTAATTATTTCTTCATATTATATTTTTATAACTTTGAATTATTATGGCAGGATTCAAACCCAAGTACCTTAAAGTCGAGGCTGATTCTCCAACCACTAAGCTTACTAAATTTTCTTGATAACAATTTACAAATAAATTATATTTATATACAAATATACAAATATATTTATATATTTATATATTTATATTATATATATATATATATATTTATATATAATTAAATATTTATTTTTTAAATTTATTTAATTTAATAAATTATTATAAATTAATCTAATTATGATTAAATTAAATTATTAAATAAAAAATATTTTATTTTTTAATTAGATGAATAATTAAATTATATTATATAATTTTACCGACGGATATATCCGATCGATAAATAATTGTTAATTTATCGACTGAAATATCCATCGGTAATTAATTTATAGATGAATTTATTGACGGATATATCCGTCTGTAATTAATTGTTAATTTATTGACAGATTTACCGAACGGATATATCCGTCGATAAATTTATTTATAAATTACCGATGGATTTATCGACGGATATATCCGTCTGTAACATCAAATTCCACAAATATTTTATATCCGTCGGTAATTTTCGTTCGGTAATGATTATTTTTCGACGACTACAAATCCGTCGATAATACGCGATTTTATTGTAGTGCGAGAACATATATTTCAACAAGAAAGATTATCAATAAAAAGAAAATTAAAGTTTAAAAAACATATCAAACACCAAAAGGCGCACAATATAGAAAGATCAAGGATGAAGACTTAAAAAAAATACGTTGTATAAGTACCACCAGCTCTTTACTACAATAATATAGTTACATTTAAGAGAAATAAATAATAAAAAAAAAAACTCTACTCAAAAGCAACGAGGGGCATGAACTATTAGAAAAGTAGGAGGATCAGAATTAAACTCGCATTCAAGGAAAATAATTAGTCATTGTCCAATGTTAACAAAAGAAAATCAAATTAATAAGGTTTAAGGTCGAATTTGGAATTTTTTTTTCCGTTTTCTTAAAACGAGGTCGAATTTTTCTAGTCTCTACCTCTCTCCTAACTTTACATCTAAATTTTAATCTTAAAATATTTAATTCATTAATTCTAAAAATTTCTCAATACACTTAAAAAGACATGTAGATAAACAAAGTATAAGAATACAAAGAAGAAAAAGAAAAACAACTCAACATAACACTACCTAAAAAAAATTGTTAAGATAACAAATTTCTAAAACTTCTATAAATTTAGAAGAAAAGAAAAAAAAATAGCGTTATTGTAATTATTCATAGATAATTCTCATCTTGAGAAAAAAATTCTATTATTTTTATTCTTTCTCTTCTAAAAGTATTAATCTTTAAATATTATTTCATACTTTCCTAGAGTTACTTTGTCTTAGTCAAACATCAGTGTCACAGCCACTATCTTTTCAAAGTCAATAATAACTTGTTATTGAAATAATAATCTCTTATTTACAAAATATATTTGCGTGATAATTTGAAAAAGTTAATAAAAAAAGATAGGGTTGTCAAAATGGGTGCCCAGTCTGGCCTCGTCCTATGACCCAAGTTAAGTCAATGACCCAACTTAATCTATATTTTAAAATGAATCAAAATTTTTGACTTAGTCCGACCCTATGTTGTCAACGAGGCTAACGAGTCATTTTTGGCTTAATTAAATAATAATAATTTTTTTATTTTTGTTTGAAAATAAATATGTCATTTTTTTATTTATTTAAAATTAACTCATAACCTACTAAGGTAAAATAAAATCAAATGTATAAAATTGTAAAAATTGAGTTGTTATAGTCGTGTAGCAGTTGATGAGTTATAATTATTCATATATTACAAGTCAAACATATCCTACCAAAAATATTAGAAAACTCATTTTTTTATTTTTTTAAATATACGTTTTAAACCTCTGTAAATATTATAAATCTTTGTAATTGAAGTATTTATAATAATTGGTTAAAATATGTATTAAAAAACTCTCTCATAGTCAACATAGTTAAATTGAATATCATGTTTAATAATGCATATCAAGTACATTTTAGAGTCAAATTTTCATTTTTTTCAACAAGATAGCCTTATTATCTAACACAACTCACATCATCATACTTTGAAAATACATTATATTTAATAATATATCATCTTAAATTATTGGTCCTTAAAATGACATAACAGATAAGAAGAAAATGGCCAAAGTAAATGAGGACTATGTTTAAAGTTTATTATTTTTTCTAAATTACACACACACACACACACATATATATATATATATATATATATATATATATATATAACAAATATATTATCAAATTAATTTATTATACATATATTTTCTAATAAAATAATAATATGTTTATTTTATTGGTAAAATAATAATTATTTTATAAAACCGGTCAACCTATAAGCCTATGAACTAGCCTAGTCTAAGTCTATTTAGGTCTGGCCTAAATAGGTTGGACCAAAATTTTCCTAATTTTATCTAGGCATAAATTTTTTTGCTTAACCTGACTTATTTTTCGAGTCTTTCGAGATGACCTATCTCACTAGGTCTATTTTGACACCTCTAAAGAAGGATAAGTGTGTTCTAAGTTAGAGGTGACCTTAAACATTGGTTTTGTTTTCTTTTGTTAGTGAAATTTAACCTAATTAGTTAAATTTTTTGCTTAATCTTTGTTATAAATGAAATAATATAAAAATAGTTGTATTCATTCTAATTTCTTATCTTGATCTTCCTTTCTAACGTGTATACTAGTGTAAAATGAGTGTTTTTATGTTACCAAATTCTTGTCGAACATAAAAATAACCGACTTAAAAAAATGTGGTGTCATTTTTATAAATAAGGGAGGCTACTTTACGTCGGACCACTTAGAGACCGACGTAAAAACTACTTTTTACGTTGGGTGGCTCCCTAATCGACGTAAAAACTCAACATAAAAAGTGACTTTTACGTTGGTCCTTATAAGGTCCGACGTAAAAGTAGCGTTTTAATCGCTCTAGGGCTCTTTTTTCGTCACGCACATGAGGGACCAAATCAACTCCTCTCAAGATACATTTTGACGACAGTGAGTCACGAAAGCACTTGCATTATATCCCATTTGTGGTGGTTGACATTTCTCTCCGATTGAATCCGAGTTTTAGAGTGTTTTTTATATATTTGAGGTTAGTGTTCTATGTATGTGTCTCTTCTTTTGTGCTGAAATTAAATCCGTGATTATTTTTTAGGATCTCAATACATCATTGTATGAATGTCTCCACTGGGTTGTTATTGAAATTGAACTGTTGTAATTTGTAATTATCTGTTTATGTGTTTGAGTGAATATATGATTTATA